CTTTTCTGGATCCATTCGATTCGATAAAAAAGCCAAACCGAAGACCAGCTCTAGCATACAGTGTGCTGAACTTGTTGAAGCTAGTTTAAAGTTGAAATAAATGTTAAACTAGCTTGCTAGCCTGAATCAATGCTAAACTAGCTTGAATCAGTACTTTTTAGGACTTTAAAAGTGCTGTAAACTGTCCATTTTACTAATGTTAATGGATTTTGATGAGATTTTTCAGCGGGATTGCTGTATTCCGTAGTCTGATAACTTTTATGCATGCAGAAAGGCGCTTGTCATAGTTTTCATACAGATTTGCATACAGTAGGGTTACTGTAACGTCGCGTGCAGTAGGGTTACTGTAACGTAGCGTTTAGTAGGGTTATTGTAACGTAGCTTTTAGTAGGGTTACTGTAACGTAGCGTTTATTAGGGTTACTGTAGCTCAGGCAACTTTCAGCTTTGATTAGCACCAGTAGTTGTTACTTAAAGCTTGTCTTTGCCAGAGCGCACCTTCTGCCAGACTCTTTTTTTTGCCGGTATGCTAGTTAGTAAAAATTTGCATGAGCAACGAATTGAGTTAAGGAAAAATAAGCATTTTATTTCTAATTTCACCAAAAATCTCCCAATCACGGGAAAAATTATATCGAAGCGGGAAATGGCTTCCCTACGACCTCACTGAAGCCCACAAAGCCATACGAGTGCCATACGAGCCATATGAGAGCCATACGAGCCTCACAATCAATCACTATTTACAGGAAAACACCGCGGATTTGAAGAAAACCTCATTCTTTTTGGAGGAATCTCGAAACGACGTCATTATTCGTCTTATCAGCGTAAGTGCAAATGACAATTAAAAGCCGGTAAATGCAACGCCCTTCTTATGATTTCAATTGTGATTTCTAGTTGAAAGAATTTGAAGAAAAAGGTTTTTGATTGAAGAAAAAGAAAGAAAAGAAAAGGTTTCGAAAGAAATTGCTAATCGAAAAAAGAATTTTATCATTTCCTTTCTTTTTTTAGCTTGCTGGAGGAGAAGATGCTAAAGTTTAAATAAAAGAAAAACAATGTACTAGACATTGTTGTCGTTTTCCAATCTACTAGACATTGTTGTACTTCTAATTTACTAATTTAACTTCTAACGTACTAGACATTGTTGTCGTTTTCCAATTTCCAAATTTTTCAAATTTCCAATTTCCAATCCCAACCAACATTCCAATCAATGAAAAAATAAATAAATAGCAAATTTTCCCCCACCAGCATGTCTCTAGTTGGGTAAAGGTATCGGGAAACTAGCTTTAAATAACTTTATTTAGCTTTATAGCTTTAACTTCATCAATTCTAGCTTTAACTCCATCAATTCTAGTTTTAACTTCAATTCTAGCTTTAACTTCATCAATTCTAGCTTTAACTTCATCAATTCTAGCTTAAGTTCATCAATTCTATCTTTAACTCCATCAATTCTAGCTTTAACTTCAATTCTAGCTTTAACTTCATCAATTCTAGCTTTAACTTCATCAATTCTAGCTTTAACTTCATCAATTCTAGCTTTAACTTCAATTCTAGCTTTAACTTCATCAATTCTAGCTTTACCTTCAATTCTAGCTTTAACTTCATCAATTCTAGCTTAAGTTCATCAATTCTATCTTTAACTCCATCAATTCAAGCTTTAACTTCAATTCTAGCTTTAACTTCATCAATTCTAGCTTTAACTTCATCAATTCTAGCTTAAATTCATCAATTCTAGCTTTAACTTCATCAATTCTAGCTTAAGTTCATCAATTCTATCTTTAACTCCATCAATTCAAGCTTTAACTTCAATTCTAGCTTTAACTTCATCAATTCTAGCTTTAACTTCATCAATTCTAGCTTAAATTCATCAATTCTAGCTTTAACTTCATCAATTCTAGCTTAAGTTCATCAATTCTATCTTTAACTCCATCAATTCTAGCTTTAACTTCAATTCTAGCTTTAACTCCATCAATTCTAGCTTAAATCCATTCAAAATTATCAATTATTTAAATTATTTAAAGATAAATGGGCAAAGATTTGAAAGGATTTCATTTTTTTTGAAAATTTTACAGGAGAATCGATCTTTGAGAGGAAGAGTTGTCTCATTGGAAAAAGCTGTCGAATATTATGATGAGGTGAGATAAAACTGATGATTTAGCAAAGAAAGAATGAGTTGAGATTAAAAAAAGTGATACCATGAGCTTTATTTTAAGTCAAAAGATCTAAATCTAGAGATCTAACGTTTAGGATTATCACTTTTAGCCTCATAGAGCAGACAATATATTTTTGTGGCAGTGGGGGAGAGTTTTTCATCGCTTATCAATTCGATAAGTCTTAGAATGAAAAGCTATGGTATTATAGCATCTTAACTGGTCAAAGTATCGCTGAAATGTTAAAGATTAATGAATAAGATTGAAGATAAGGAACTAGCTTTCAGCAAAACTCCATTCTTAGTGCTAATCTGATCTAAATCGTTCACCGAAAATGACACAAAAGAATGAATAGCTAAACAGCTCAATCAACATCGATTGAGAGACGAATTGTTAGACTTTGCTCAACCTGCTCAACTTGCTCAACTTGCTCAACTTGATCAACCACTCAACTTGCTCAACTTGCTCAACCACTCAACTATAGCTTATCTATTTCGAATTTATCCTTCGACTTCGACTTCAACTTCAATTTCGTAGATACGTTCGATTTTTTAAAGCTTTTTTAAAGCTGAAATTGGTTGAGAAAAAAATCAATCGTGAAAAAAAAGAATGAATAAACGAATGTACACTGTACACTGTACAGTACTGGACAATGAAATATCATATTTGAAAAACGATCGTCACTTTCGCGCGTCTGTAACTCCCTTGTCTTTCAGTTTGTCTTTGAGTTAAACTATTAGTGTTATACATTTTCTGAAAGCTCTTTTCAACGGCTACACAATTGTAATATTAATATTTAGAACTACGGTAAAAACAAGGGAGTTACAGACGCTCGAAAGTGACGATCGTTTTTCAAATATCATATTTCGTTGTGTATGTAATAAAAGCAAAGAATGATAAAAGAAAAAAAGAAAATTAACCAGAAATTGAATGAAATCATTGATGTTATTGGAATTTGCAATTAAGCAATATAAATTAACATTTCATTGATAAACAGCTCTCGAAAAACTTTCATTAATAAACAGTTACCCAATTCTAAATGATTCGTAAACAGCTGCAACGTAAACATTTGTAGATCATTTGTAGATCATTCCAGACCATTCCAGACCATCAAAATCAATATTTCAGGTGACGAGACGACACACGGAGTTGGTCGAAGATAATTCGAGACTAAGAAGTCGATTGGAGAAACTGGAGCTGCAACAAGTCCCCTTCAACTGTTGCGTGTGTCTCGAAGACAAGGTTTTCGGCTAATATTACAATTTTCTTTGTTTTGGTAAGGGGAAAAGTATGTACTTTTCTGTGAATTTATGTTGGTATTTGGTCAAAGCCTAAGCCTAAGTCCAAGCCTAAGCCTAAGCCTAAGCCTGAGCCCAAGCCTAAGCCCTAAACCCAAGCCTAAGCCTAAGCCTAAGCCTAAGCCTAAGCCTGAGCCTAAGCCTAAGCCAGCCTTAGCCTAGGCCTGAGCCTAAGCCTAGGCCTAAGCCTAAGCCTAAGCCTAAGCCTAAAGATTTCAAGAAGTGTCGATTAAAACGATTTAGCCGAACACAATCGTCTACCCGTGTCGTCACATTGTGATGTGCTCGAAATGTGCGTCGAGTTCTGGTTCGAAATGCCCAATGTGCAGAACAACAGTCACACAAAAGGCTTTAGTCTATTTTTAGAATCTTTCAAAGAATTCTAAAAGCTTTCTAAGAACACTTGAGGATATTCCCAGTCGATCTTTTACGCACCAGAGTATAATAGATTAAAAGTCTTCAGTCACTATGTCAGATTACTGAAAAGCTGGTCTGTTTACGGTACTGGGACTTACTGTAACTTAAAAAATGTACTATTTCAAGCTTTTTAACTAAAAAATGTACTATTTTAAGCTTTTTGACTTAGAGATTTGGAGTAGGCTAGTTTCCGCAATTTTTTTGCGCAACAGGGTCATTTGGGCAACTGGGTCGTTTGTGCAACTCGCCATAACTTTCTTCTAGGTGGGCCAATCTTGATGATTTTGGTGTCATTTTGTTGCACTTATCGAGATCTACAAAATGACACCAAAATCATAAAGATTGGCCTACTTAGAAGAAAGTTATGGTGAGTTGTGCAAAAGATTGAGTTGCACGAAAAATTTAGGGTAAAAGATCACGAGCGCCACCATATATCCGCTGCCTTATATAAGCCGCCTTAGATACGCTGTCTTCTGGCGCTCGTGATCTTTTACGCTAAATTTTTCGTGCAACTCAATCTCAATCAACTCAAACGACCCAGTTGCCCAAATGAAAAAAGTTGCTGAAACTAGTCTATCCCAAAAATGTACTATTTTAAGCTTTTTAACTTAAAAAAAATACTATTTTAAGCTTTTTCACTTTAAAATATACTATTTTAAGCTATTTTAAAGCTATTTTTCTTACCATTTCACTTTGTACATAGCTCGCTTTCTCTTTATACTTTGTGCTCAATAGTAAACACATCCTTTTTGGCATACGGAGAGTTTATTTATAGTTTTTGGAGTTTATTTCCTCAATTTTGATTAATTATAAGGAAAATTCGCCTGGTGATACTTTGTTTTTCAATCAAAATCAACATTGAAAAGTGACAAGTGCTCTAGAAAGGATGCGTTTCCATTTACAAACACAAAATACCCCTCTCCACTTAGTTTTTCTCCGGGTTTGTTTTATTTTTCAAATGATTCGTGAATAAAAGTAATTTATTTCGAACTCGCTGTTTCTTTTCTATTTATTACCCGTAAAATTGCAGATCAAACTAGTGAAGAAAGATCAAAAAATGAAAAGAAACCTCAAAAACTCAACATAAAAGTAAGGCAATTCGATAAAAGAAAGAAAAGAAACCAAAAAATTAGCGATATTTACACGTGGCTTGCGTTATTCCCGTTCACTGAGGTGCTGATCTTTTGAACCTGAATAAAAAGGACTTAAGATGTAAGAGAGATTCATCTTATGTACGCATCCACCCGTATCCATTTTGCCTACCTTGATCGACAGCGGGTGCTCACAGTTTGGGCAAACGCAATTCGGCGCCTCCTCACTCCTCGACATCATCTCGATACACAACTCGTCCATCGTGTCAGCTACTCGCTTTGTACCCGTTCTGGAATAAATACCGGTTCTTCAAGTTTCTCAACTGTCTTCTGCTTGTTGTAGACTTTGTTCAAAGATAGGCCAGGATCACAAGCCTAAGTCTAAGTCTAAGCCTAAGTCTAAGCCCGAAGCCTAAGTCTAAGTCTTAGCCTAAGTCTAAGTCTTAGCCTAAGCCTAAGTCTAAGCCTAAGTCTAAGCCTAAGCTAAGCTAAGCCTAAACTGACCCTAAGCTAAGCCAAAGCCTAAGCCTAAGCCAAAAGCTCTGACTTGGTTCACAAAAGTCCTGAACTGACTTAGGACTTGATTTGGCATTCCTACTAATAGGTAACCGTATCCAATAGCAAAAGATTCAATTTCACGCCTGACACCTCTATTTAGATCTACTGTAGAGTGAGTACGATAGTTACTTTTATCATAACATCCTAGAACTTAAAAAGTTGAGCCTAAAGTCTTTTTAGACAGTCCATTGAATCGCTTTAACAACTGTAAGCAGTTTTTGCTAGCTTTCGCAAAACAGATGTGGATCTGCAGGTCTCAACCGAGCTGAGAATCTGCTGTATCTTGCGGAAACCCACACTGTCAATGGGTGAAGACTTCTGCCTGCTCCGGCCTGAGCCGTCTCCTTAACCACTCTCCTTGGGCGCCTGGGATGATCATCCCATCCGGGAAATTACCCCTGACGACATATTGCTTATTCCGGATCTCCGCTCTTTGATATAACTAAGGTTATCAGTGATCCCGACTTCCCTCCACCTATCACACTCTGCCGCCACGAAACTGGCTCACATGCTCACGCATGTGATCAGGCTCACGGCGATCAGGCTCACGGCAATCAGGCTCACGGCGATCAGGCTCACGGCAATCAGGCTCACGGCGATCAGGCTCACGGCAATCAGGCTCACGGCGATCAGGCTCACGGCAATCAGGCTCACGGCGATCAGGCATGGACTTTTATGGACTGTCAGTGGATCTATAGGGAATGGAAATGTCAGACAAACAAGGAATGAGAGATGCGGTAAGAATGGAACACAGAAAAGCTGCTGCTCCTTTGCTTTATACATCGGATCACTAGGTTTATTGATCTGGATTCTGACCAAATCAACGGGCAACTTCACTCACTGATTTACATTTAAAGTGAACAAGGAAGTACGGTAGTCATCCCAGGTACAGTAGACGGAGAACGGTAGAAAATGTCGGTGTTAAGTCTTGTACAGTTGTCAGTGATTAATTTGTAATTGCGTCAAGTAACTACCATGCTTTCAATTCTCCCGTCGGCTTGGGCTTGGTCTATGGCTTGGGCTTGGTCTATGGCTTGAGCTTGGTCTATGGCTTGGGCTAACTTATAAAAAGAACCTTGTCATTTTCCTGTGCATTCGCTCGGTGACCAAAATGAGTCCTTTTTTGAATTGACTATTCAGTTGGGCATAGAAAATCCAATTGAACGCCGCTGCCAAGAAGGGAAGCATATGGGCCACATAGGTGATCTTGATGAAGTCACGACTGAGAGAAAGACGAAAGATTTTCGCGAAGATCAAATAGATTTGCGGTAACCAGTAGGGAATCTAAAGTTATTCATTGATTAAACAAATCCTTGACTTAGACAAATACCTGGCATGCCAAGTAGAACAACGTGACAACCAGTGTGTAAATCGTGATCCGTTTAATGGGGATTCTTGATTGTAACATTGTGCTGAAAGGGATTGTTTGTGTTGATTGGTTGATTAAGCTAAATTAAAGCTAGAGAAAGCTAAAGCTAGCTAGAGAAAGCTAAAGCTAGCTAGAGAAAGCTAAAGCTAGCTAAAGAAAGCTAAATTTAGCTAAAGAAAGCTAAAGCTAGCTAAAGAAAGCTAAAGCTAGCTAAAGAAAGCTAAATTTCCTCAAGTTTCCTGTGTTTGCAATTGCTACAAGTGTACGATCACTGACCGTATCTGTCGCCTCAACCTCAAAATGATTCTCACGTAGAAATATGTGAGTAAAGTGCATGGGAGCAGAAATGCAACGACAACCATGGCGCATAGAAACTGGAGAAAAGGCTTTTGGTGGAATTAGAAAATCACTGAGTTTACCCAGAATTTCATCGTGATACTCAACCCGTCAACGCACATTTGTTTCACGATTGGATAGGTGATCGTCTGAAAAATTTTCATATCCAGATAGTTCAACAGCTTCAACAGCTCAACAGCAAAGCTATGAGCAAAGCAACAGGGTTTTGTAAGTACTATTTTTAAATAGTTTAAATATTTGACGGGATAGGACTCCTCCTGAGATATAATTCCTTAAATACAATACCCCAAAGTACAGTATCGAAGTAAGTACCCTGAAGTATTACTTCTATAGTATAGTATCCCGAAGTAAGTACTCCAAAGTACAATACCGAAGTAAGTATCCTAAAGTACAGTACTCCAAAGTACAGTACCAAAGTACAATACCGAAGTAAGTATCCCAAAGTACAGTACCAAAGTACAATACCGAAGTAAGTGTCCTAAAGTACAGTACTCCAAAGTACAGCACCAAAGTACAATACCGAAGTAAGTACCCAAAAGTACAGTACCAAAGTAAGTATCCTAAAGTACCGTACTCCAAAGTGCAGTACCAAAGTACAATACCAAAGTAAGTATCCTAAAGGACAGTACCCAAAAGTACAATACCGAAGTAAGTATCCTAAAGTACTCCAAACTCCAAAGTACAGTACCAAAGTACAATACCGAAGTATGTATCCTGAAATACAGTACCCAAAAGTACAGTACTCCAAAGTACAGTACCAAAGTCAGTACCCTGAAGTACAGTACCCGGAATACAGCACTCTTCCCGAAGCACAGTACTCCTCCGGATTTCTTTTCTTTTTACCTCAGCTTTTGGTTTCTTTTCTAAGATCCTCGTGAAAATGTCGTCAGAGTGAAATTCTTTTACATAAGCTGAGAAGACAACGGGCGCAATTAGGATTGTCGAGATACAGATCATCCCAGTCACAATGGCTGCCGTTTGACGCATTTGGTGAACCTGGAAATGGGTGGAGTGAATGGGTGAGCTGATTTGAGTTGATTTCAGATTTCTTTAATAGTTTAGTTTCTCTTTTTCATCAAATTATTAGTGAAAAAGTTAACGACTACGCGAGTGTACAGCTAAAAGTGTACTGCTAAAAGTGTACAGCTAAAAGTGTACAGCTAAAGGCGTACTGCTAAAGGCGTACTGTTAAAAGTGTACCGTTAGAAGTGTACTGTTAGAAGTGTACTGTTAAAAGCGTACTGCTAAAAGCGTACTGCTAAAAGTGTACAGCTAAAAGTGTACAGCTAAAAGTGTACAGCTAAAAGTGTACTGCTAAAAGCGTACTGCTAAAGCGTACTGCTAAAGCGTACTGCGAGTGTACTGCTACAGCCTCTTCCCTCATTCTTACCCGTTTCATTTCCGGATGACATATCGCCATGTATCGATCAAAAGCTAGAGCTGTTAGGATGAAAGAGGAACAGATCTAGAATGCTTGTTGGAAATGGTTGCTTTCGAGTTTAAACCTTATTCGAAAGCTCCAAAAGAAAGTAGATTTTGCAAGCGAGTTGCCCGAAAATCCAATTCTCTAGCACCATCACTGAAATTTATTTTTAACAATCGCAAAAACTCATCTACCTGATAAATGAAATGGAATTGACATCGTGACCAAAAGATCGACTCCCGACAAAACGACCATGTAGACGAATGTGTTTCCCAAAGCAGTCACTGAGGATCGTAAGGATCTGAAATTGGAAAGGTCACTAAATTGTCACTAAGTCGAGCAATTCAACCGGAAACTTCAACCGGAAACTGTTAAATAGTCAATTTTGTTCCTGTTCCAGTCAATTTTGAACTCAAATTCATCCAAGAATCGTTGTTTAGAATTTTCGAAAAAAGCCAATAGAGCCTTAGAGCCTTAAAGCCTTAAAAAAGCCTAACAATGAAACCTTCTCAAGTTACCCGCTAGGTATGAGGTAGGTGCCAAAAGGTAGATGATAAGAGGTAGATGCCAAAAGAAAGGGCTGAAAATGTACGTTCAGAAACTGTTTTCAAAAAGCGCTAATCGGGAAAGCGCACAAAGTTACAGCCATTTGAATTCCGAAAAAATGAAGGCTTTTCTCGAATTTCTGGCACACTGATTTTTGCCGGCGGGAAGGCGGAAAAACTTTCCTTTCGCCATCCCAAAAGCCAGCTCGTAGCGTAGTGGTTAGTGTGCCTGCTTTGGTCTTGGTTAGTGTGCCTGCTTTGGTCTTGGTTAGTGTGCCTGCTTTGGTCTTGGTTAGTGTGCCTGCTTTGGTCTTGGTTAGTGTGCCTGCTTTGATCTTGGTTAGTGTGCCTGCTTTGGTCTTGGTTAGTGTGCCTGCTTTGGTCTTGGTTAGTGTGCCTGCTTTGGTCTTGGTTAGTGTGCCTGCTTTGGTCTTGGTTAGTGTGCTTGCCTTGGTTAGTGTGCCTGCTTTGGTCTTGGTTAGTGTGCCTGCTTTGGTCTTGGTTAGTGTGCCTGCTTTGGTCTTGGTTAGTGTGCCTGCTTTGGTCTTGGTTAGTGTGCTTGCCTTGGTTAGTGTGCCTGCTTTGGTCTTGGTTAGTGTGCCTGCTTTGGTCTTGGTTAGTGTGCCTGCTTTGATCTTGGTTAGTGTGCCTGCTTTGGTCTTGGTTAGTGTGCCTGCTTTGGTCTTGGTTAGTGTGCCTGCTTTGGTCTTGGTTAGTGTGCCTGCTTTGGTCTTGGTTAGTGTGCTTGCCTTGGTTAGTGTGCCTGCTTTGGTCTTGGTTAGTGTGCCTGCTTTGGTCTTGGTTAGTGTGCCTGCTTTGGTCTTGGTTAGTGTGCCTGCTTTGGTCTTGGTTAGTGTGCTTGCCTTGGTTAGTGTGCCTGCTTTGGTCTTGGTTAGTGTGCCTGCTTTGGTCTTGGTTAGTGTGCTTGCCTTGGTTAGTGTGCCTGCTTTGGTCTTGGTTCGGAGCAGTCAAACTTTTTGCTTTTCTTGATAACATTAAAAAACCTGATTAGAAATTTGTATAATGTTATTTAATGATTGACAAAGAAGAACCTACATTTTCAGGCATTTCTTTTGGCACCTACCTCATACGGTAAATCGCGGGTAACTTGAGAAGGTTTCCTTGTAAGCCCTAACCAATAAGAGCGCTCTACCCGCGAGGGAAACAATAGCAGTGATGGCCTAAGGGTTAGGGCGTTAGACTACAATACGTTACGTTAGACTACGTCAGACTTCCAATGACCCTCCTTTCAATTGGTTCGAGTCCCGCCACGGACAAACCTTTTGCAACAGACAACAAAGTAATATTTATCTTTTTTGCAACATAAAAGACAAACTTTAAGGCTATAAACTGAACTGAAAAGATATTTGGAATATGTTGGAATGATATGAAAAGATATCCGACTCTGAGCTCTCTGAGCTTTTTCTGAAACGTCACCCACATTTTCCATTCCTATTCCACATCCCCTTGTCAGATCTGTAGCTTTCTTGAAACTTAAAACATTTCCAAAACAAAAGTCAGACCATTTATTAGTCGGATTACTGTAGTAAGACACTTTTAAAATCCTCTAAAGCCTGATTAAGCCATTATATTCAATTAAAATAGAAAAAAACAATATTGCTTCAGTTTTGAACTTCATTATTTAAATATGGTTCAGATACGGTTCCAATATGGTTCAGATACAATTCCAATATGGCTCCAATATGGTTCTAATACGGTTCCAATATGGTTCCAATATGGTTCCAATATGGTTCTAATATGGTTCAGATACGGTTCCAATATGGTTCAGATACGATTCCAATATGGCTCCAATATGGTTCTAATATGGTTCCAATATGGTTCTAATATGGTTCCAATATGGTTCAGATACGGCTAGAAACTTCTATGCAACGATTAAAACAATTCCAAAGTATAAAGAGACCTTTATTTCTTTATTAAAGTGTTTATAAAGGGTTTTTGATTCAATCTTTAAGTGAATAAACTGTAAAGAACTTTACCTTGTCACAAAGAAAACATAAGTGAGCACAGCGACGTTGCCAGCCGTTCCGAAAATGAACAAAAAAGCGTAGGGAAGGGAAAATGAGGTGACTTCGGTGCTGTACACTTGCATTGATGGACCCGGCGAATGTACAGAAGTCATCTGAATTTGAACTGAATAAAGTGGGAAAAGTGAAAGAGATGATATAAAAGAAGAGAACAGATTAAGAATAGATTAAGAATATGTTAAGAATAAATTAAGAATAAATTAAGAATATATTTTTCAGAATAAAAACACGATTTATTGATAAATTGTTAAGAAAAAAGGTAAAAGTTGGCAAGAAAAATCCGCGGTTCGGCGGGGTCTTCTAGCTGTTTTTCTTGTCGGTCTTTTGGTCGACGTGGCGCAGTCAGGAGCGCGCTTGCCTAGCACCCACATTATCCGGGTTCGAATCCCGTCTGTTCCCTTACTTTTGCTTTTTTAAAAATAAAATATGAGATACAAAACTATGCAGAGTTCTAAGCCTAACAAATGAAAAATTATATAAATCGGCTTACGGGAAGCCGAGAACTCGCGCGTACAAATGGACGAAGCAAACAATTGATTTTATATATGTCGTAGCCGATGAAGGATTTCAGCCGAAGAAGTCTCAGACTAGCCGATGAAGTCTCAAATGTTTTCGCTAGCGAAACCTTAGCTCGCCGATTAGGTCCCAGACTTGTTCCAATACGGTTCCAATACGGTTCCAATACGGCTAGCCGATGAAGTCTCAAAAATGTAATCTTGAGTTATGTATTGACTCAAATCAATACCACAAACTCAAGCTCTCTAAAAGGCGCTTAAAAGCTAAAAACGCATTCTAATTGCAGTTGCGACCAAACTAAACAACAAAAATAAACAATAATACCACCGGTTCACGAGTTCTTTGACTAGACCTAAAAGAGACCTAAAAGCAAACAAAATAAAGCGTCATGGAGAAATTCAATAGGACACAAAAGTAAAAGCTTACCAATCTGTTGGCGAACTCCTTTCCGTTGTCGGACTAAAGGATTTTTGGGGCTCAAAACGTTCCGAATATTTCCATTAGATGATCGACAACTTCAAATTGTGTTTTTCTTTGCAATGCCCGCAAAACGACGAACTTTGTGAAATGATCCTGGTAGACCATCAAAAACTTGAATTCTCCATCGGAAACGGATTGAACATCGATTAAATCCGTGCCTTTGACGAATGACGAAAAGGGCCCTTTTATAGCCTTTGGTTATAGTATGATAAAATGCGCACTCTTTAGAATGCGTTTTTAGCTTTTAAGCGCCTTTTAGAGAGCTTGAGTTTGTGGTATTGATTTGAGTCAATACATAACTCAAGATTTCATTTTTGAGACTTCATCGGCTAGCCGAAGAAGTCTGAGACTTAATCGGCTAGCCGAAAAAGGTTTCGCTAGCGAAAAAATTTGAGACTTCATCGGGATGAAAAATGGGACAAGGAAATAGAAAAACGGAAAAAGTCTGAGACTTCTTCGGCTGAAATCCTTCATCGGCTACGACATATATAATAAATTGTTAAAAAGAAAGATAATAAATTGTTAAAAGTCGAATGACTGGCTTGGAAATGGAATGAAAAATGAGACAAGGAAATAGAAAAACCGAAAAAAAAAATAAGGAAAATGGTAGAAAATTGTAGCTAAGACCAATAAGTTTTCATACAAAAAAACCCGTCAAAAAGTTCCGTTGAACCTAGAAATTAAAAGTTTTTTTGAATCAAGTACGCACTTTGGAGAACATAGGGATAATTACAGAGCTGAAATATTGGCAATTTCGAGTTGCAACAGGGAAATGGGAAATTGGGGGCTTTTTTTAAGAAAAAGAAACGAAATCTACAAGCTTTAACGGTTTCTTTTACTGCTTTTTTGCGCGAAATTTCGGAAATGATTCTTTTTTTTGGAAACTGGGAACTCTGAAAGCTTAAAAGGAATAATGAAATATCATATTTGAAAATCGATCGTCACTTTCGCGCGTCTGTAACTCCCTTGTCTTTACCGTATTTCTAAATATTGATATTACCATGTAGCCCTTGAAAAGAGCTTTCAGAAAATGTATAACACTAATAGTTTAACTCAAAGACAAACTCAAAGACAAGGGAGTTACAGACACGCGAAAGTGACGATCTTTTTTCAAATATCATATTTCATTGTCCAGTACTGTAGATAGAGAAGAGCTATGTAAAATGTGCTTTCTAAAACGTTTCCCTTTTCTCTTTCTTGAAGAGAAAAAGGATCTTGTCTAATCTAGCGAGTTTTTTCATCTTTTAGCTTAATAGAAACGAGTCAAAGAGAGAGTCAAAGCTCAGTTACAATGGGCTCCGCAATCTGCCTCTGTGGCTTAATGGATAAGACTCTGGTCTCCAAAACCACCCATCCAACTTTTGCTCGGGTTCGATCCCTTCCATCGGTTTTCATTTTGTTTTCATTGTTTCATTGTTGATCATCCTGTTTTCATTGTTAAATCGAATCTATTTTAACTTTAGAATCTTAGAACATAATAGAATAGACAAAAATAGAAGAAGGTAGAAGAATAAAAATCGAAGAAGATAGAAAGAGAGAAGAAACTGTTGTAGAAAAAAGCGAGAGAAAAAGCGAAAGCAATGGAGAGTGACACAATTTTAAGCTCTTTTTATTCTTTAGCTTAGGCTAAAGATTAACAATAAAAGGAAAACAATGACAAACAAATTATTCCAATGTTCAGGGCCAAAAAAAGAGTCCAATTCTCAGTCGCTAACAAAATCTAGGTGTTAAACGTTTCAAATAACGTGGAAAACGAAATTTTTGATGATTCTGAATTGGATAATGAATTAAAAACAAATCTAAACAAACAAATCCTCATCATTTCTGAAATTTGATTAAATCTTCGTTTCTAGAATTTGATTTTAAATTTGATTGATTTTTAAGTTTCTAGAATTTGATTAAATCTTCAATTTATTCATATTAGAAAGTCAATTTCTGCAAATTTCTGCAGAGCCGGAAGCGGCTTTTTTGAAATTCTTTTTGAAATTTCCAGAGAAAATCTAATAACTTCAACCAAGAGATTTTGATGTAAGGAATAATTTAAAGAGATTTTAAAGTCCAGATAAACTTCCCAAAAGTTCCTGAAAAGATCATCCAAACTTTGGAGGAGAATTTGCTTTGGAACTGGAAGCAGATCAAAAGTTGCGCGCCACCGGGACTCGAACCCACGACCTTTCGCCTATCAGGCAACTGTGCTAACCATTATACCAAAACACACTTGACCTCCCATTCTCCAGAGAGTTAACTATTGGTTTTGCACCCCACTTTGTGCGTTCTCTGGTCTGATTGTAATATCTTTGGCTAGATACCGTATTCTCTCTAATAGTAGTGCACCCAAAGCTTCGCCTAAATTCCTTGAAATCTCGAAAAGCGCTTATCAGAACCTATTGATGTGGGGTCGGAAAATGGAGCTGACGATGAGATCTTGCAGGGGATTAGGGTGTTGAGCTTCTGTGAAAGCTTTGAAAGCCGTATAATAGTCACCAACTCGGCGTGCACTACTATTAGAGAAAATACAATATATGTTTAACTTTTTAGAATCACAAGAGAAGGTGACAAAGCTAAGCAAATGACATAAGCCATCAATCATACAAAGAAGAATTTGACGCTGATTTCAATTCTGCTATCCGTTTTTACGAAATTCGATCCGAAATCTGGCAAATCTGGTAAATCTAGCGAAATTTGAGGTCAAAACAGAAGTCAAAATCAGTCCTTTACATGTATAGCGCTTCTTTAATCGACTTGAAATCTGGCCTTGTATATGGATAAGAAGAGAGTGGATAAGAGTCTTGTTTCCAAAACGAATGATCAAGCTTTATCTTGGGTTCGATCCAATCCAAGAAAAACCCAGTTTACGAAATTCAGCCACTAGCGAATCATTCGTGAGCGGCTGAATTTCGTAAACGGCTACGACATATATAAAAAAAAAAAAATATATCACGAAGTACTGAAGTCTCCCATCAGAAAAACTTTGTTTTCCTAAAGCCAAAAAAGGAAAAATTGACAGCTGGATTTAAAAAAAGAGAAAAATCTGCCGAAAAAAACTGCCGAAAACGGCCGACTAATTAGATTTTGATGGAGAAATCGAAAATGACTGAATGATCGAATATTTGAAATAAAATTAGTCATTCTGAAGGGAAATTTCTGAAAAATCTATATGATTTTACTTTCACAAAGATCTAAAAGAAATTTTGAACGTTTTAACGTTTTGAACTTTTTCAAATCGAATCCCTAGAGAGATTTTTGTCGAATCCGATCTTTCTACTTTGAGATGAGATAAAGATCTTTTTCTTTAAAGAAAACTTTTCAGAGAAAAGTTATTTGAATAGGAAATGGAAAGAAATACAATGTTTTACATTAAAATCGAACAGAAAAAGTGTTTGCAAAAGTGCCAGATTGAGTTGGAAGCAGATCAAAAAGTTCGGCCGCACCGGGGGTCGAACCTGCGACCTCTCGCTTGTCAGCCAACCGTGCTAACCACTACACCACAAAGCACTTGTCTCCCTCGTTCCGGAGGGAGTTTACTATTGTAAAATCCAGAAAAAACGATTGAATGGCCGCTCTTGAATTACCTGGCCTAGTAATTCGTTCTTTGTGTCCATCCATGTCCACCTGGCACACTCAACCGTATACCAGATGCCAGCTTTTGAAGCAAATCGTGCAAAGAACGCACAAAATTCCTTAAAAACTGTGCTTAACAAGGCGAAAAACCCTTCTACCACACTAAAATCATCTTTGTTTCAACTGTTGCTAAAGATAATTCCCGAAAACTACCGTAATCTTCTACCAAAAGCCTCTATAAAACCACCGTAAACCCTACCTAGCCAAAAAGAAAATAGAACTACTGTAATCCTTGCTTTTTTTGAGTTTAACCATTAGATATCTACTAAAAGAACAGGTCGTCAGTCTGTCCGTCTGTACAGTCTATTTCTCAGCCCTCTTTTGATCAATAAAGCTAAAATTTCTTTACAAAACCGTAGAATATAATATAGTTATGCTATTTCAAAGAAAAACTAAAAAAATTGAAGGTTGAGGGACACTATGGGGGGGGCGAACCGGGACCGTGTGGGTCTGAGAGAGGGACGCTCCCGACTGCACT